ATGCATTTTATTTATTTAAAATATTTTTTATTTTTTATAATAACATTTTTGTTACTTAAAAAATAATTAGTTAGACTAAATCAATTACATTTATTGCATTTTAAATATCTATCGTTTTTACCTTATATGAATAAACTATATTTAATTTGGTTAATAATACAAATAAAAGAAAGAAACTATAAAAAGCTAAATACTCATGAATATATTTCCAGATCTTCTTATTACTTATGAAAAATGAAATAAAATTTAATATAGTAAATAAGAAAAGAAAAATGAGTCATTTAATGAGTTGACAATAATGATATTATTAAATTAGGAAGGATTTTATTTTCTTTTTTAAAAATAACAGTAGATTAGGCAGGAATTCAAAATTTGTAATTTTGAAGGAAAAACTTCATTAACTTCTTGTCTTTTATTATTTATTACATTAGACGATTAATTATAGTAACTTTTTAATACATTTATGATAATATTTCTTGATAATAATATAAATACAAATGTTTTTTCAAAAAAAATTTAAGCAAATAGAGTTTGACTATTCTCCAACTTTGTTTTATTACAGTTTTATCCCTATTATCTTATAAGAAATTTATTTTGTAGTTTTGCTTACTATTGTTTTGTAAGTGTATTGAGATTTTACTTTTTTTGTGTGCAATTGTTAGATTCTATTTTTAGAATAGCAATTTTATTAATTATATATTTTAGTATAGTTTTTTTCTTTTTTAATTTATAAGTTAAATGTGAATCTTTGTTATTTTCTATATATATATATGTGTGTGTGTTAAATGTGATGTTACTAAAGAATTCTTTTTGTTTTGCGAGGTATTAACTAGCATAGGCTTAATGATTTTTGGTTTATTTTAAAAAGTTACTTGATAAGATTATGTTGATTTGTAAACTTTTACAATCAGATGCCAAAAATGATTGATTAATTCGAATGCTATCATGCTGGGCAGCTATGTATTGGTTGAGAGCCAAATAATACGGATTTTCAAATATTATATTATAAGCCAACTCGACAAAAAATAATATAGTTGATTATGACCTAGCTAAATATGTTTTGGTTTCACTTGAAAATGAAAAAAAAATTATTTTCTAAGTTCTCAGTGAATGAAGTTTTGGACGATGTAAGATGTATTAGTTTGTAATTTTTAAAAATCTTATAAAAATTGGAACAAATTCATCAATTTTGTGAAATTGATTACTTATTTCATTTAACAAGTCCTAAAATGTTAGAAATACTAAAACTATAATTCAAACTCTTATACTCCATTTCCTATATTATTCTATATTTCTTTTCTAGATAGATATTCTTTATTGAATTTCATTTTAGATAGAGAGATATTTCAAGATATATGTCACCAATTCATAACAAAAACATACACAATGTTGAAATAAAAATGCCAATGGTTTGATTTTAATGTAAATTGAACTCTTTCATAATATAAGATATATATATATATATTAATACAACTCTTTTATCCAATAAAAAAAATATACGTACAATCAAGTTTTAAATTTAATATATTAATATTACAAATTTTTCCTACAATTAATACCAAATTTTATTTTGAAATTGATATTTTTTAAACATGTAATTTTATCTAATTATTATTTTATTGTCACCTTAAAATTAGGTAAATATATATGGTATTAGATTTAAAGTGACAATTACATCTTAAATATTCAACACAGATTTACAACTTTGAAAGGAGCAAGAGATTTTAATTATTATAAGTAATTTGAATTGTTATTTTTGTCCATATCTTTAGAGAAGCAAAATAGCAAACTATATTACCGATTCTTTACAAAGATGGGAGTAAAAAACAAAATTATTTTATCTCCGCTGGTAGTAAACTCCAACGGGTTAGGTTTTGTGTATTATTTTTTTGAGAAATTAGATTGTGTGTATTAATAAGTGTTGTTACAATTTTTTTTCTATTTATGCATTGGAGCCTTCTCTGGTGTGATTTTTAAGTTTTGTAATATTTTGATTTTATGAATGAAATTATCTTTTTGAATGAGAAAAAAATTTATATCACACTTTTTTTTTTGTTTTGTACTTTTTGAGGTTTATTTTAATAATCAAATTAAGGTTATTTATTAAATTGTAAATAAAATGATGATAAAAAAATTTTATTGTGACTTAAGTTTTTTTATCAACTATTATCAATATTTTTGTTATCATGAAAATAAATTTTAAATTATCCTCTAAAATTGTAATTATATTAAATTTTGAAATAATATTATATTATATAAATTATTATAGATACACTTGCCTCGTACATAACACAAATATAAAACTTTAAATGTTCAAATAAGTAATATTGACAATTAAATTTTTGAATTGAAAAAGTAGTAATTTTCTTGACCTTAAAATTTTGAAATTACATAATATTCTTAAATATTTAGTAGAAATCAAAACTTGGCTTTTCAACGTTGTAGAAGGAAAAAAGTGGGTAAGTTAAATATAGCCATGTATTTATTATGCGACCTTTCAATTTTTTACTCATAGAATTATTTTAAAACTAATAATGTTATATATAACAAAAATTATAGTTGTTTGCTTATCCGTATATATTATGAGCTTAAAACTAGTATGAATATATAAAAGCCAAAGTCTCTAACAAAAAGAAAATAATCTGATGTAAATAACATACATTTTTGACATATGGGTAACCTAAAAAATTGACATGTGTTTAGAATTAATTATACATTTTAAATTTTAAATTTAAGATATTTAATGGTAAAAGAATTTAATTTCAAATATGTTATTTCCATTATTATAAAACACATTCAATGATTCTTTTTAACACTTATAGAAATAATGTTATTTACTTTTGAATAATTAATTGGCTAAAATAAATTAAGAATCAAATCAAGAATAATAGTATTTTAAATTAAGAGTAATTCATGTTGCTAATTAGAATAATTAAGTATAAAGTGTGTTCAATGTGCTTGAGAGAAATGAAAAGAAAGATTTTTTAAAATAATGCAATAATGATAATAAAATTAATTTGATTTGATATACTAAAATTGATTTTAATTGATTTGATCACCTATTGATTTGAGCATAATTTACTACTAATAAAAAGTTTTTAAAATATAATGAAACGTAGACTTTTCAAAATAAAAGGTAAAAACATGCTGATAATTAAATAATTCATTATAATTTATTTGCTTAAATTATTCCAAACTTTACAAGAGCTTCCTTATTATAAATAGAAAATCATCTTATATGAAGATTGTTTAGAGGTTTACCAAAACCCTCAAAATGCATTTGTTTTAGTTATGATTAGGTAAATTTCTATTAAAAAAATTCCATTAAATCTTTTACATAGCAACTAATGATTTTTATTTTTAGTTTGATTTAGTTTTTCAATCACCATTAATAATAAAAGTCTATTGTTTTTAGTTTAGGTATTGTTTCTCTATTGTTTACATTTTTCAACCAATAAATATTTTTATTTTATCATATTTGATATTACTTCTCTTTTGTTCATTTTTTATGCATATTCAATTAAACTCCATTTATAATTTATTCATTCTTAATGATCTTAAGTCATTTACTCTTTTATTGGCTTGAATTTCATACTAGCAGAAATCTCTCTTTGATTTCAAAATATTATATCTAAAATTTTTATAATACAACAAAATAAAAAACTCACATTCCATGAAACGGGAAGAAAACATAATTTTTTTTTTTTACTTTTACTTTACGATTTTACCTTCCTTTTATAGTTTTTTGAATATCATGTTTATTTACGATTAATATATGCAATTTTATTCTATTATATATATTTTATTTAATTTGCTTAACATTAATCAACAGCAAAATTTTATTGGTATAACAGCATAATTTTTAAATTAAGATGTTAATTGCTTTCACTTATGCCATGTATAGATGCCTTGTAAACAATTTTGTCATGATCAACTATTTGGTCATGGTTAATTCTAATGCTATTGAATAAAAGAATTAAATAAGAAATATGTGGTTTGTTTAATGTGTATTTTCTAATATATGCATCATTTTTTGATGATTTAAAATTTTGAAAATAATAACATAGACAAATTTTGCTATTTAATATCCAACATGATATATAATAAAAAATTAAATAAATTTTATTGTTAATGAAAATTATTAGAAGATAGAAATAGGTCTTTATTTTTAATTTGATAATATATAATGAGATAAGTTATACAAGTTTAAGGTAAGTGATATATTTATTTTTACTAAATAATTCAAAAACATTGATTCAATATAATTTTATATTCAACATTTTATCATGCACTTTTTTTTTACAATATTTGCATTCTAAATTTTTTATTTCAATTCATATAATTGTACATGCTAAAAATATATTGTCAAATAGGTGTCAAACATTTCCTTTTTCTTAAACAGTTAAATTCTATTTATAAATTTGTTAAATTTTGGTGTTATAATTTCTCCCAAAATATCACTAAAAAATTGTATTCGAAAAATATTTTGAAAATTTTTTCCAATTTTGAAGAAAACAATTAAACCTTAAAACAAATAATTGATTTTTATTTCTAATGATTTTTTTTAATTAGGTTAATCAAATACTAATTTTGATTGAGAGTTTACTAATCAAATAAATATGGTATTGGTTTTAATAAATAATAATTGTTTCTCTTTAATTTCTTTTGAAAATTTATGTGTTGTATTTTTAGAGATAAAAAGTAAGATAATTCAATTGTATCTATTAACTTATAAATTTATGTTAAAGATGAGATAAGTTTAAATTACTAATTTATAAATACCAATAGGTTATTTTAAATATACCAATAAATATATATATATATATATCACTCATATTACAAAATGAGATTTCTAACATTATATATTTTATATATTATTATGAAAATACGATTTCTTATCAAAATTTTTAAGTATAATATATTATTTTTTAAAATAAAAATTTATTTTTAAATAAATAATTCTTTACTTTTTAAATAGTTATGTAAAAAAATATAATTGATTTGACTGTTCATGCATAACATGAGTTTAAAATTAACTATAAATTAAATATGATGTAATAATTAATTATTTAATTAATTACATGAGTTTAACACGTGAATTTGATTGTAAAAAAAAAAAAAAATTAATTAGTTGCTTTTGACAAGTTTCTTCTGACCAAGTCATCCTGCCCCATTGTACGTGCACCAATTGCCTACATATGTAATTCCAAAACGCTTATTAGATCCATAGTTTGACACGCAACAAGCCAACAATGAACATTCAAATTTTGCTAGCCCTTCCAATTTCTTCTGTTATTGGCGCAGATAAAAATAAAATATACGTTTCAAAGTGGTCTGCGATCATCTGACTCTGATAAGCTAGGAACAACTGATAATCGGGATTTTCGCCAAAATGAAACTGATCCAGAAGTGATTTGAAAACATAACCTTCAACACATAATATACGCAAAGATCAGAGAACTCGGGACTCAAGCTACCTGGGTTACATGTGTCATTTTAGCCTAATCAGGTAACATGTTTCGTGAGAAATAAAATTGACAACTAAATCCTCAAAATTTCCATTGATAACAAGTATCAAATGCCATGCCCTAAATTCAAGGCATAGAAAGAATACAAGCGATGAACATGAGAGAAATTTCTGTGATCGATTGAAATTTGAAATAGCTACATACATGCCTGCCCTTCTTCTCCTCCAGTTCTTTTTTTTTTCCTCATTCTCAACTGCTTCCGCAGTACCAGTAAAATGAGTAGTCATCTATCCATAAAATGGATAAACACAAAATCAGTCTATTGTTAGCAAAGCTGAGCATTATTGGTAGCGAATGCTGTGACATTCATTAGGTACCGACCACCACCATAGGAGTCATGGTACAGGTGAAAGGAAACATGTATAGTTAATCAACGCAGTTAGATTAGTTACCTCAGCAAATGCAGAGGTCCGCAACTAGTTGGTGAAGCTCTACTGGAGGCTCTCACCACTGCGTTCAAACCAACAGTAGGTAGGACTTCATTGCAATATCAAACACTAAGCATAGTAACAGTGAGAAGAAGCTAACATAAGAAAATTTTATTCATCGCATACTGGATACAATAATATAATAATATATCTGTCTTCAAAGAATTAAGTCAGACTCATTCGGTTAATCTCAAACCTGAAACATCTTCATCATCACACTCTTCTTGTCCTACTCCTTGCAGCTGATCCATATTAAAAAGTTTTGGCAGGTTCGTTCCCAACAATTAATGCAGGAAATTTCATTCCCGCCAGAAGAACTCCTGGCATGGATCGGCAGGGCGTAAGCTCTACATGACGGGCTCTGGCAGTTGATGCTCGTCTTTGAGAAATATTGATCCTTTTTTTCCCAATGATTGTTGACGAATCTTTTAGCTGCATAGTTTAACAGTGCAGGCCACAGCCTGTGCCCAGAATTTGAGCCTTGCTTTAACATCTTCTGGATGGTCACCTGTATGCACAAGAAAGGCACTGAAGGTTAAAACCCGTTTTCTATTTCGGTCCTAAAAGAAGTTATCTAGATTCTAGACACGGTTTGCAGGGACTAGATGCACGAAATTTGCGAGTATCAGAACAATTTGCATCAAGTTCGTACTTTTTCTGAAAAGACACATATAAACCTTCAGCAGATGTCAAAAAATCACTGTCACGGATTTCACAAAATCAGTGCAACTCAACCGTGATTGCCTTTGCGTAGACACCGAGTTATGATTTGAGTAAGGAACTCGAAGCAAAAAATCCCTATGTAGTCCCCCGTAAAATATGAAAAATCCAACACCAAATATCCATTTCATCTAGCACAAAGCATGCCATAACTCACTCTTGAACCAAAAAACTGACTTCAAAAGATGGGGAAAAAAGCAAGAAAACCCAGCTCATCATCATCCCAATAAAAACGAGCACAACAAGATCTGATGGCAAATGGAATGAAACATATGGAAAAATAAAATAATAAAAATATAGTATTAAAAAGAAATGACTGACCAGGACTAGAGATCTTCCAATTGGCGACGGGGCTGGAGATGGGTTCGGCGGTGGTGGTGTCTGGAGATGTGTCAGGAGACTTGTGGTGTTGATCACCCAAGTACTTCTGAGACATAGAGTAACATAGCTCAAGTGCAGGTAAGGTGTTGCAAAGCTCAGGAATTTCCTCGTAGCTGAATCCAAACCCCAGATCTAAACACCCTTTAAGTTCGTCGAGATCTTCATCAGTCAAGCTCTTTGTCCTCTTCAACTCATCCTCCTTATCCAGCACCTCCACGTACCCCTCTAGCAACACCTGATTCTTCTTCTTGTTGTTTCTAATCTTATCTTGGTTGTTGTTATTGTTGTCGTCGTGTTCTCGATTGATCTTTGTGAAATCTTGACGTTCTCGATGGAAGGCATCCGCGGTTGTCGTTGTTGTTTCGTGTTGTTGGGAGTGATAGATTGAGTTTCTGATGGAAACCCATGATTCTGTTTGAGATGAAAATCCTACCATGTTGTTACAGTTCTACAATAATTTTCAGAGTGTTTATTTGTTTGTTGTGTTATGGGCCTATAGCTTACCACAACTCCTAGGTCTATACACAACTCTTGGCGCCGCTTATAAAGCTGTGCTGTCTCCAACCTAGATTTACTTTTTCTCTTTTTAATTTTATTTATTTATTTATTTTTAATTACTACGAGACTACGACCAGAAGAAGAAAAGAACATCATATGTAACCAAAAAAAAAAAAAAAAGAACATCATAGGATTAATTAATAATATAATACGATGGTATAAATGGATCCATGTATGTCTGTATATTGGATGATTGTTGATAATGGTTATAATTTATTTATGAGTGTATATTTGATATAGTGTATAATTTTTATATATTATTAATAAATTAAATAATAATAATTTATTAATGAATAAATATTAATTTTTAAAATAATTATATATAAATTAAAATAATTTACTCTTAAAATATTATCATTTAATTTATTTTATTAATAAATTTTTATATTTTATTCATTGATCATATAAAAAATTTATTTACTGTATTAAATATATATTCTTTATTTATTATTATAAACATGAAAGATGATGCGGTGTAAAACGGGATTACGTGTGTGGTGACAGTTGTAGGGGGTGGTATAGCAGAGAAGAAAGTGACAGAATAAGAGCGTGACACGTAGTGAACCGAAGAAACGACAAAGCCAGTAAAGTGGAGGCGGCCCTACCATGTGCGTTCATAACTTCTCAATCTTGTTGTAACGTGGAATGTTTTTATGTCAACAACGCCACACATTTCACATTTCCTATATATTTCAAATTTTCATTCACTTGTTGCAACAAATTTGGTGGTATGGTATGATTTCATCCAAATTCATTCAAATTGTTGTTATACTAGTAAATAATATTAGTAGGTATTTCTCTTTTGATGCCTTCAAATTTGTAATAGCTGCTAATCATTATACAAATTAATTCCTTTTTAAGTTAATATTAATGAGGCATATAGTAATTAATAAAATAAAAACAAAAACATTTTAAAAGTAAAAAAAAAATAGTGCTATGTGCACTCATTTATATATTTATTTTTTATAATTTAAGTAAAAAGTATTAAATTTTTTATGAATTATTGTGAAATTTTAAAAATTTATAAATTATATATGTGGGAAATAAATATATTAGATTATGTAAATAATTAAAAAGAAAAACAAATATGTAAATGGGCACGTTTATTTGATGAGGGCACGTTTATGCAAAGGAATCCGGCTAAAATTGCTTTTTCTCAGATAAAAGGGAAATGTTCTCTGATGTGCGGACTGCGTATGGAGATCAAACCCCAAGGAAGACATACAGAACCAACCAACCCACCCCAAAATACTACAAAAAGAAAAAAAAAACCTTTTTATTTTTTATTTTTTTTGGTTTTGATGGATAGTTAATTAAAAGAAAACAAAAATTTTTTTTTTCAAGTAAGTTACCAGTTTTGACTGATTAGGAGACATGAAATATGAGACGTTTGTCTTGGTGTCAAGAATGTCTATATATAACCCAACCAAAATAAAAATAAAGGCTGAAGATGATGCTTTAAAAATCAAGCACTAGGTGTCTAATTAGAGGTCGCTTGCCAATTTCACTAATAGTAAAAACGTTGAACTAATAATAATATTATTATAAATATAATAATTATCCAAGATATACACCACATGCAGCTTTTAATTACTTATCATCCATATCAATCAATGATAAGTTTTAATATTAGCAAATATTATATAAATTCATTTATCTATCTATTTATCTAGTGTCATATAATTATTTTTAAAAATTTTGAATCATAGGCTAATTAAACATTAAAATTTTTCATTAACACTAGTGTTTGATTGGTTTCAATTTCAATGAAGGGTAACATGATCAGATATGCTAACCCTTCCAGAAATAATCAAATCGCAACACTATATCTATATTTGCCACTACTTTAGGTAAACAAAAAAATTCAAAGAAGCTTAAAGAACCAAAAATAAAAGGAATGATAAGGCATTTTTGAGTTGATGTTCAAAGAGAACATCAACTTTTTTTTTTTCTTTTTTTGAATTGTGAGGATGGGGGATGGGTTGACTCGAAACTGAGCCTTACATGTTTCTTTTAAGGCTCCTTAACAACTCGACCAGGTCACCAGAAACAGACTACCAACTTGTCTAGTTAGGTGGGTTCACCAAATCTTTACAGTCCAGAACAATACATTATGCCACTGAACTATATATATATATATATATTAAGATTAATTAGTTTGTCCTATTGATTATTTTATATCGATACGATGCTTAATTTGTACTGTATTACTCGCTACTATATTACAAGTATGTGAATAGTCAACCAAACCGTTCATTATTTTATCGTCCATCAGTTTAATAACTTGTCAGTTGCCCCATAAATCTTGATAGAAGCAAAATTAAGCTGGGATCAACTTAATTTGCATTATGTCTTTTACATAAAAGATCAAGGTTTAAGAAAAATTAAAAAAAATTTACAAATATTAAGATCAAACTCTAATTTTACTAAAAACCACCAAAGGTGAGTCTCCATGTTCTTAATTTGCATTATATTATTTATTTATTATTATTATTATTATTATTATTATTATAATAACGTTAATAGTAGGGAGCAGTTGTAGGGTAAGCTCCCAATTTGGTGAGCTTCCCATAAGGTTTTGACCAGTTACAAATCAATAGTCATCAGTTTTTATGTAACGATAAAAGGAGAATATTGATATAACATTAAGTGAAAATATAATTTGGTGTTATCTAATTAATATATTGTGTAATTATAATTATTTGTTAGAAAATTACATATAGTGCTATAATAGATAACATTGTAAAGATAATAAAAATTGTAATTTCATAATAAATAATTGTAAAAGATAAAAAATAATTTTACTAATTTGTAGTAAATAAAGTAAAAAATTATAAGTGACAACAAAAGTAGTAATACTATTTTCTTATCATTCAAAAGATAAACTAAATTACGAGATAGATTATCCAAGTAAGTGAGAAATTTAGTAGTCAAATAAGAATAACATATAATTCAAGAAAAATATAAAATGAAAATTATATTATTATATATTTTATCTCTTATTCAAAAACATGATATCAAAGTATCTAAGAAATTTAGTATTCTAGTAAGAATAACCAATACTTCAAAAAAATATAAATAAAAGTTACATAATTTTTTTATTACCTATTCAAAAAGCAAACAAAATTATATGTGGTCAAAAGTATTTAAAAATTTTAATTATCAAATATTAAAAAATGTAAAATGAAAATTAGCGTCTACCCTTTTGTGGGTCCCAGCTCACCCTTATCCAGGTCGACGTATGTGAGAAAGCATTAATGTTGATGATATGGCATGACAAATATCTTCATTCCATTCACGCCGCGTAGAAAGCGGTGATTGGGACAATGACAGGCCAACGACCCACGTGGCCTGTCTCTCTCACTCAATAATTCCTCCTTGCTTTGCTTGATCTGTCTGCCTGCACTTAAGAATGATTAATCCTCTCTTCGTGTATAAAATATTAATAATTTATATATTATATTATATTATATTTTATAAAAATTTGTGTTATAATTAATATTAATATAAAAATATAGTTTTTTAATTTTATTAAAATTATAAATTATTTTTTATTAAAGTTTTAAATTATATTATTTTTATATATTTTAAATTATTTTTATTTCAAATCATCTTGTCATACTTTAAATTTTTATGTTTATTCATGCATAATAAATCATTAATTAATAAAATGGGCGTAGGTTTTTTTACAATAATCTAAAAATAAAAAATAGGTGAAATCCTTTTATGTATTAGTATTTGCAACTATCACTAATGTATTGCTATGTTAATATTCATTGATGTGAAATCATGGTATTGCTCTATATGCCCAAAGACATTGCACCATTCCATCATAGTCCTTGTAATGTTCCTCCAATTTCAGTACATTATAATAATTATTATGAACCTGTATGTTTATGATGCACATGGTGGTCCACATGACCATCCCATTTAAGCGCTGCCACTTGGCCCCAAAATGTTAATAATAATAATAATAATAATAATAATAATAAATAAATAAATAAATAATAAATAAATAAATAATCTCACTTGCTTTTACTTTTATATAACTACTGAACAAAACTTTCTGAAAAAAAAAAAAAAAGCACCTTTTCCTTTGGTTTCTTTATGCCATGCTATGATTATTATTATTTTTTTGTTTCAAAAAGCTATGATTGGTATAGTAAATTATTGGGAGGTTTTTGATTCCATGCTCTTTCTTTTTGGGGTTTTTGTTATAGTACTCTTAGTCTCACATCCTATTTAATAAGCAGTGTAGAAAATAATATTATTATGTATGCATATTCTTAGAAGAGATGTAACCACTACTAATTTAACTAGTACTTTTCATTTTTATATATAGAATGTAATGCAGGAGAATCTCTTGTTCATGTCATTGCTAATCAATAAATGAAGAAGCGGTTCAAAACTAAGATTTGATGTAGATTTGGTTTTTCACTCGCTCTTTCATTTTTATTATTTTATAAATTATAATATAGAATAAAATTAATTTATATACTGTAAAAGTAAATATATTTTATATATTTTTTTAATTTTTAATTTTAATAAATTTAAAAAATAAGAGAGACAAATAAAAATAAAAAATAATTTAATTTCATCTTTTGAATCAATTAAAATCAATGATTAAAAAAATGTAAATTTAAAAAAGTTTTACTCCATACGAATTGATCCTTTCTCTTATATATATAAACTAATTTTTTTTCTCTTAATTTCTTCTTGTTTTAAGTAATTTCTTCCAAAAATTATATTCTAAAATTTTGCTTTTAAGGAATATTGCAAAAGCACAAACAAGAAACGAAATGAATGATGCATTATCAGAAAATCATCTTAAAAGATTTATATCATCCATAGATATATCGATCACTTGAACAAACTTCAACTTCCCATGTACAATCCATGCTACATTTAATTACTGTGATTTTGATTCTACCTTCATTAATTTGTTGTTTAATGCCTTAAATGGCAAACCAAAAGCCACCATCATCTTAAT